ATTATTATTATTATTTTTATTTTTAATAAAATGCTGAAGTGGTAGGTAGATGCAAGATAAAGGTAGAAAACATAGTTTAGTGTTGTAAGAGAGCAAATGTAGATGATCAGGTGTGTGCCTGTAGACTAAGTATTAATCCAAGCTAGACAAGGGCAACACAACATCCACGGATGCAGAAGATTTCTCTCAGAACGGGGGGTGAAGTTCTAAGCCTCACCCCTGTTGATCCCCAATTTCTCATCTGATGCCCCCCCTGCGACTGTGCCTGTCTTAGGTTGTTCCTCCCTTGAGGAATTGAAGATACATTTTTGAGAGGGAAAAGGAGCAAGTTGCAGAAGCATGTTTCACCATTTGAAGCCTTAATTTTAACAACTGAAAGGTTCTAAGAACACAAAACAGTATTTTGTATATTCCATAGGCACAGGCATGGGCATGAAAATCCATAGAAAATAGTTCAGAAGAACAAGGAGCCAATTGATATAGAAGTTACCAGACTAGGAGAGGGCGATGGCCATGGGGATGCCAAACGGAACTTCAGTGTTTGTGACAGCATACATTGTATGAAATGTTATGCATTTATTACTTTAGTGACAAATTAGTATTTTTGACTGATACAAAAAAATATGCTTTCATAATTTAAGGCATTCATATTACCTAGGTAGTTCTTTAGATTAAATATTTCATACATCAAAGATGTTAAAGGCACATAGAGTTTATGTGAGATACAGTAGCCCTGTATTTCTTCACCTGGAATTCCCAAAGATGCTTGGAGAGTAGTCTGTAAATCTGAAACTGTTGAAACAAAGGCCTGCTTTAGGACAAACCTGCCCTGGGCCTCAGAGGATAGCCAAGAACAAGCAGGAGGGTCCCTAGCCTCAAAGGCCTTCTGGTCCTGTGCAATTCTTGACAAAACGTGGCCCAAAGACCGCTGTATTAGGCCCAGGGAAACAGAATTTGCAAATATGGAACATGGACACCATGGTTTATTAAGCTTCTCAGGAAATAGCTGCATGCACCAAGAGTTCTCAAGCCATCCCGAGTGGGTCGAATTCTTGGCCTACATGTCGTTTCCCCACTCCTTACCACAGTATCTCATTTTGTTTCTTCACAGCCTTCTGTTTTCTTACTAATTTAGTTGCTTGTTTAGCCTTCTGCCCCACTGGACTCTTCACACGGAGAGCCCACGTCCATGCTGTTGTTGGCACACCCCTAGCATCCAGCAACACGCCTGGCACATTGCCAGCCAGTAAACGTCTGAAGGTCCAGTTGGTATCTAGTAAATACCACTCACATGCATGGATGAGTGACTGAAAGATGAACAGATTCATTCCCTTCCACCTCCCATTGATATTTCACTATCCCTGTCATCCTTGAAATCTAATTCAGAGAAGAAAATCATGTAAATAATTAGAATTGCCACTTATTAAAGGTCCTACTACATGCCACCTGTCTTAAAAGATGTTGTTTTCCACGAATGCTTTTCCTGTTACTGCTATGTAAGAAATCACCCCAAAATTTAGTGGCATAAATCCTTTTCATATGCTTCTAGATAGTGTGGGTGAGGGCACAGGGATGACCAGTCTCTGTCCTACAATGTCTGGGGGTTCAGCTGAGAAGGCGGAAACACTAGGGGTGACTTGGTGGGGAGCTGGAATTATCTGGAGTGTCTTTTCTCACATGGCTGATGTTTGGTACTGGTTTTTGACTGGGACCTGTCTGGGTCTGCTGACAGTAACCCTCCCATGGGGCTTCTCTGCAGGGATGGTTGGGCTCCCTCCTGGTGTGGCAGCCTCAGGGATTTGGACTTGTGACTTAGGGTTCAGGTGTGATGCCTCACCTAACCAGGCAGAAGCTGTGCCATCTTTTATGTTCTTTACTCAAAAGGCGCACAGAATCACTCCCACCACATTCTTTTGGTTACATGGAAGTCACAAGTCTGCTCAGGTTCAAGGGAAGGGAAATTAGCCTCTACATTCTAGCCTCTAGATATGTTCTAGAAATCATAGAAGAGGAGATATTTTTACCATTATCCTTGGAAAATACAATCTGCCACATCTTTATAACAATCCTGCAAATAGTTGTGAATGATCCATTTCCTGGGTGAAGGAGCAGGTGCAGAAAATGCATAACTTGCTCAAACAGTTAGCTAGCAAGTGGCTAAACAAGGATTCAAACTCAGGTCTGCTTGTCCCCAGAGCTTCCTTTCCCCACACCTCCCTGCTGCCACATCGGGTGGAGATTGTATTTATGTGTTTCATCCTCCCTTCATTGTTTATCAGGGAGACATATCCAGATCCCCAAAGTTGCCTTATGTAGAAGTTGTGTCTTGCATTTTAGAAAGGGCATTACTGGTGCAATAACCTGCCCTTCAGTAGTTAATAGTTAGGCATTGAAATGAGTCCCTTCTGAAGGTCCAGAGAAATTGCTATTAAGAGACCAGAGTTTGAGCAGAGTTTGCAACTTCAGGATGGCAGCTCATCCACAGCGATCGTTGACTCCAGTGAAAAATGATCCTCTGTCTTTGTGACACAATTATTTGGGTATTTACCACAACGGCCTGTAAATGGGCTCTTTTCGATCAGAAAAGAAGAAATAAGCTGAGGGGGGGAAATAGCTAAATTTAAATGTAACTGCTCACATTGTTTTGTCCTTAGATGGATGGTAGGTCTTTCTCATTATTCACCAAGCACAGACATGCTACCAAGAGTGATTTGGCAACTTGTGAAGATAAATCACAACCAGGATGGCTGCTGTCACTGTCACAGGGAGAGCACGGCTCTGGGGACTGACAGAGTGTGGGAGCATGTACGTGCACTGGCCCCACTTGTGCAAAGGCAGAGAGAAAAAGGAGGACCTGGAGAAAGGAAAACAGAAGAGAAGCAATAAAAATTCCGTGTCTCCCCCTACTTTGTTCCCAAGTGCCATGCTTTTGAGAGAGCTAATGTTTCTGTGAGTCCCCAACAGGTCAGAAAGAAGACAGATGGCAGGTTAGCAAAGCATGAGGGGAGGGAGGTTATGAATTTAACCATCCAAGAAGAAGAAAACACAGACTCAACATGTAGCTCAGGAGAAGATGGCAGGAAGCACCCGGACACTAAGAATCTGAAGGGAGTTGTATTTGCAAGGTATTTTTAGATGAAATCTTTCACACATGGCATAACGCAGAGATCCTCCCAAATGATCTTTGTTTATTCTGTTTTTACAACCTATATTTTTGTGCTGATAAAAGCAACATCTTCTAATAATATAAATTTTAACAAATATAGAAAAATGTATAAAACTTCATAATCTTTTCATCTGGGAACAATCAATATAAATATATTGTTATGTGACCCTCCACTCTTCCCTTGCATGTATAATATACACGTTACTGTGTATTGCAAAAGTGGACTCGCATGAAACCTAACATTTTGTGACCTCCAGTTTTCCCTTCATCTATCATCAGTATCTTTTATGTGTCAGTAAGTAGGCATTCACATAATCATTTTTAATGGATGCATTATTTTCCACTTGTAGCATTATTTAATCAGCCTATTCCCCGGATGTTTAGAGTTGTGGATTTCTTCTTACTATAAATAATAGTATAAGAACATTCCTGCACATATACTTTGCATATTTTTTGCTTTTTGCTTGGATACATTTCTGAAAGTGTATCTCATAAGAAAAGTAAGGCACATTATGAGAAATAGTTTTATACATATTGCTAAATTGTCATCTTAGCTAATTGCTAAGTTGTATGGAGCCATCTAAAGACAAAGATAAAGGTTAATACAGTCTGCTTGTATTGGTCTTTCTCCCCCCCCCCTTCCTGTCTCTTCTTCCCATTCCCCCCCACCAGCCACCTTCTCCCTTCAGGAGCGGGTCAGCAACTTCTGTGTTGAAGCAGCTTCTTTGGTTTGTGGTGCCTTCAGACCAGGGCAGAGGTCAGCCAACCATGGCCTCTGGGCCAGTCTGGCCCACAGTCTGCTTCTGTTTGGCCCATGAGCAAAAAATAATGTTTATATTTTTAAATGACTGTTAAAAAATAAGAGTAATAATATATTGCGCTAGATGAAATTACCTGATACTTAAATGTCAGGGTCTTTAAATAAAGTTTTATTGAAACACAGCCATTCCCATTTTGTTTACAATTGTGTATGGCTGCCTTTGCCCTGAAACAGCAAGAGCTGAGAAGCTGGGACAGAGACTGCGGGACCCACAAAGGAGAAAATATTTACAATCTGGTAACTCTCCAGAGAAAGTTTGTGGACCCACAGACTAGTGGAAATAATGTTTCTAACTCTCAGGGGCAGTGGGCACCCCTGTAGAAGGACATCATAGCAATGGTTAGGAGAGGGGCTGTCTGACTAGCTCAGCAGCTTACCGCCTGTGGGGCCTTATCCTTTGCCAAAACTCCCAGTGCCACAACTTGCTCATCTGCAGAATGGAAGTGCTAACACACCGTCAACAACCAGTGTTACTAGGATCAAATAAAATAAGAGGCGAATGCGTTTAGCATAAATGCCTAGTACATAGTAAAAAATTGTTGTTATTGTTACTATTACTTGCTTCTGGATATTTAACCTACAATTTGTCCCACTGTCTTAAATCCTGAAGTTTTAATTTCTTGTGTTTTTCTTTCTCATGTTTGAGTGATTCTGGTTCTCCACTCATGTGGTACCGACAGCAATAAAATAAGGTTTGTACTCTGAGAAGACTTCCTCAACATATTCCATTTTTTTTCTTTTCTGTGTTTCGAATATTTCGTTCCCTTTTTCACATATCAGGCGCATTGGAATAAATAACCTACCTTCAGTCCTCAAAGGAATGAGGAGCCCACTGGCAGGTACCTGGCGGCAGGTGGCCCCGTTGAGGTGCGCGCTGTCCTCGGGAGTCGGTGGGGGGCCCTGGAGTCGAGGAGGCTGGACCTGGGCCCAGGGCCATGCCTGCAGGAGTCAGCTTGCGGTGCTGAGCCGGACTTCATGGCTTCTTTTCATTTCTGCTGCTCTTCCTCATTTGCTGCTCTGAGTACAGCCCTGAGCTGAAAAAGAAAACAGAGGAGGTGATCTCTCCAGGAATCTGCACGAATCTCTTAAAGTTGTTTTTCACAGACTTGAGACAGAGCTTTCTTGTGTCTAATGAGCTCTCTGAGCATAAGTGAACCTCATGCCTTCTTGTTTACAGAAAACCATGCCAGTGAGCGTCCCCCAGGTGGGTGCCGGGCCCCGGCGTGTCCTGGGCGCCATGAGCAGCGCAGCCCTCCTGGATCCACGGCTCCGCCGTCCCCAGGTCCGGTTACCCACAGTCCTGAAGCGCTGACCCCTTTCTGGCCAATCCTGAGAAGGCCAATGACGGCCTAACTATGTCGCAATGCTGCATCATCCGCCTGACTTCATCTCACCGCATGGAGGTTTATCATATCACATCTTCACAAGAAGGGTGAGTGCAGGACAGTAAGGCCTTTGGGGGAGAGGGCACACTCACACAACTGCTGTTACAGTGTCGTTATAGTTGTTCTATTTTGTTACTCGTTATTGTTGTTCATCTACTGTGCCTAGTTTACGAATGAAACTTCCTTGTCGGGATATACCTACTTATAGGAGAAAACAGGACATACAGGGTTCAGAACTATCCCCTGGGGGGTCGTGGATGCATCCCGGAGCAAGGGGACAACCGTGCAGAGGTGGAAATGAGCTCAGCTCTGCTGGCGGCCTCAGCTCTCCTCATCCGGTCTGTCCTAGCTTGAGCATCGCCTCAGGAGGCCCCCGCGGAACACCCCACTCCAGGGAGACTCTCCTATTATATCCTAAAACAACCCCGTATATGTCTATTGTAACACTAACAATAGGGATTATTCCTGTTTACCTGTTCATTCGTTGATTATCTCTATGCCTCTGCACTGCCCGCCATTGAAATCAACCTCCACTACGGAATGGACTTGGCCGTCTCGTGTGCCAGCTCTTGGGCAGCACCAGTGTGAATACATATTGGTCTGGACCCTCCAAGAACTGGCATTTTCTCCCCATGAAGGCTAACGCTGCTCCCTCGCACCCTTCATCTCTGCATCCCTCCTACTGAATTCTTACTGTTCCTTGACACAAACACGCATTTTTTTTCTTTCACACAAGCCATTTCTTGGCCTAAAGTACCCTCATTCTTCCTGCTCCCACCCTTACTTCCTGCCTGACCACCTCCTACCTGTCCTTCTGGTTTCAGGTCCTAGATTCCATCCATCAGGAACCTTCTGTGACACGTGCCCACCCCCACAGTGGGCAGTGGCCCTTCTCAGTGTGCCCAGCAGAGTCCTTAGCCATTGGGCTCACCCCAAAGGGCTCACCTTGCCCCTAAGTGCTAGTCTCCCCATTACAACTGGCAGCAGAGCACCCAGCCCAGTGGCTGGTGCACAGCAGGTGCTCAGTTGGTGTGTTTTTAATCAACAAAAGAATAAGTATCAAATAATTCTTTTCCCTACATCCTAAAGAATAACCCACGTCATTTACCACTGAGAACAGTATCTGAGTTACTCATTAAACAGACTATGAGCAATTTCTCCCAATATGTAAAATCTTCCCATTGGACAGACAAATAGAAATAGAGGCATGGCTAAGCATAGACAGTTTACAAAGAATAAATATGTTTTATAAGTAAATACAAGATACTGAATACCTGACTCAATAGGAATGTGAATTCAAATTTTACTGGGAGACTATTTTTCCTTTTCCAATTTGCAAAACTCACAAAGTTTGATAATACCCTCTATGAGGAGGGTATGAGAGGTGGGCCTCTTGTTTAGGAATGAAGGCAGTGTAAATTCTGCAGCCTCTATGTAGGACAATTTGGCAATATTTATCAAAATTACAAATGCACTTACCCTTTGCCCCAGCTGGTCCACTGGTAGGTGTTTACTCTACAGACAGTCTCCCACGTGTGTGGAATGACATGCATTCAAGGTTATTTACTGCAGGGTCGGTGGTAAGAACAAAAGTTTGAAAATTCCCTAAATGCCTCTAGATTCAGAAAACTTAATGAATAATTTATGCTATAGCCATCTATTGGCGTGTATGGCATTTGTTTTTTAAAAGACACAGTTCTTTATTAACTGATGTAGAATGATCTCCAAGATAAAGGACTTGAGATTTTTTAAAAAAAGGGCAAGGTGATAAATGATGTGTATGCTACCATTTATTGAGAAACAGAGAAATAAAAATGTGTGTGTGTGTGTGTGTGTGTGCAGATGCGTGTGCTTAGATGTCTGTGTATTTGTGAAGGCAAAAAATATCTGATGAGTAAGAGACACGAGAGGAGAGTTGTAGGATAGCTAAGATGTAAGGTGGAGGAAGGCTCTTTGCTCTGAAAAACTTGTTATCATTTTGAGTTTAGAACAACCACGTGACTATATTATCGAATCAAGCGTTGAAGAAAAAAAAACAACAACAGTCAGGAGAGAAGGAAAGGGAGGGAGCAGAAAAGAAGTCTGTCCCGGACCAGGTAGAGTCAGCTGAACTGCTATGATAACAAGGTTAAGTATCTTCAACCTCACATGCCCTTTCTTCCCTGGCGGTTGTAACAAAGTAAGAAAATTAGAGAGACAAGACCCTCGTTGCTTCCATGAGGCACCCGGTTTCTTTGCGGATGCTGCCGTCATTAGAGAGAGCAGATCCGACCTCTAAACCTCATCTGTCTGGAGACCCGAGAGGTGAATTCCACCCACTGCACAGCCATCCAGAAAGAACCCAGCAGGTGTTCCTTCCCGGCATATGGGGAGACACAGCCTCTGTTGGTGGGGAAGGTGCTGGGATGTTGACTGCTGCAGCTGCTACTGTCATAGCTCACTTCAGCAGGAAGGATTAGACTGTCCTGAATATGTCAATCAGATATCAAAGATAAATGAAGTTTGAAAAAATAAAATGTGCGATTTATTTTTTAAAAAATAGTCTTTGGGAGACACCCAGAATGCACTTTGAAAAATCTAAGGGAAATATGTCAGGAAAACAAATCCGCACTCTGCTGTCCAACTTTAATTTTTCACTGATAACACTCAAACGGGCTGCAGCCCAGCCAATAAGTAAAGATTCTCCATCCTTAATGGCCTCCGATTTCCATTTGCTGTCACGGAGGGCCAGCTCCTGAAGAAGCGCTTGCCCCTCATTTCAGCTCTGTCCACCCCCCCTCTCCAGGCGCCCTGGGTGACAATGAGCCGGCACAGCCCTCAGTGCCTTTCCCAAGGACATCCTATCCCTGCAGCTCCCCAAAGGCATCACCATGGTGGCCGCTAAGCTGCCTCGGCATTGCTCACCAGTTGGGCTTGGGGATGTTTGGGGTTTTAATTCACTTTACTAAAATTGCCTTTCATTCACTTGGTGACAGGTGGTTATTTGTTTTCCGGGTTCCATTTGACATTTATTGTTAGCACAAAACACTAATAATAATAATTAGCGCCTTTTTAGAGTTGTCTGGGGTTTTCGCACTGCCGCATTGTTACTATAACATCCTGATGCTTTGCTGTATATAGGATAGCGTGATGGTATTTAAGTGTAACAAAGGGGTTTATTATACTCAGGCCAGATTGCAGTGTCTCTGAGCCCCCTCCTCTGTAAGCAAGCTAAGACTTAATATCCTCTAAACTTGTCTGTAATGCTAATCCCTATCTTCTTCTTTTTTTAAAAAAAAAAACAGGAGCAAAACCTCAGCCAGCCATGCATGGTTTAGCTTTTTCTTAGAAGCAAGTAAGCAAATCTAGGATTTATCCTCTAGAACTGTGCTGTCCAATAAGGTAGCTACTAGCCACATGTGACGATTTATATTTAAAATAATTGAAATTAAATAAATTAACTATTCAACTCAGTTGCACAGTCACTTTCCAAATGTTCGGTAGGTGCAAACAGCTGGTGGCCGCCATATCTGAACAGTGCCGTTGGAGAACATGTCCATCATTACAGAAAGTTCTTTTGGACTCTCTCAGGTCATACCAAGGTTCTGGAGGGTGGGGGGCATCATGTGAATTTATTTATAACTCTATTCTCCTGGCTGCCATCCCCAGAGCTCATAACAAGACCCTTGAGTAATTCTTTTGTACATTAAAGTTTGAAGAACACTGTGAATCTGAAACAGGAGTCAGGAAACTTTCTGCCAAGGAAATATTTCTGCCAGATAGTAAATATTTTGATACTGTCCCAACTACTCAGCCCCAGCATCACTAGTGACAGAGCAGCCACAGACAATATGTAATGAATGGGTGGGGCTGTGTTCCAGTCAAACTTCATTTTTAAAAACAGGTGGCAGGCTGTATTTGGCCCTTAGTTCATCATTTGCCAACTCCTCTTCTAGAATGGTCTTTGGATGTCCCCATGAATGCTCTTTGTTTTATTTATTTCCCACTTCTGGATCTCAGAGGCTAAGCATCTCCAACCACACATCTAGGTGTCTGATCCCAGGAGAGATGCTTTGCTGGAATGTCTCTATTAGTCTCTTTCCCTCATTTCCACAGAAAGCTGACTGATCTCAGCCAATGGAAATTAGCGATAAAAAATACAAGCATGCCGGACAAAGCAGCCAGATCGATAAGGAGCGGAGGGCAGCTGGACGGCTTTTTCTTTCTGCCAAATCTTCCCCAGTTAAATAATATGTGGAGAGGCTCCTGGGCTTTGAAATGAGATTTTCAGGGTCAGGTCCCAGTTCCGACATGCATCTTGCCCATCTGGGAGAGTCCAAGACTCAAGTGAAGAGATGGTCTGGCCTGGGCCCAGCCCAGGTTGGCCTTTCCTTGGAAGATGTGTCCACAAGAAGCAGGACATTCCTGCTGAGGCCCAAGTGTGACCTCTGCATGCCAGTACTTCTCCTCATTACACCACTCCCATAAGAGGCTTCCCCTTAGATGGGGTGGAAAAAGGGTACAAACTTTTCTCAACTTTACTGAAAGGCCTGAAATCCCTTTTCTGTAAGTCAAGGTGGGGAGGCAGGAGAAGAGGAGACATTTCTGAATCACTGACAGATGGATTATCTCAAGTTTCCCACCAGATACAGAAATCCTGCCATGGGCGTATGATAAATTCTAATGGATCATTTTAAACTCTAAATCAATGAGCTATGAATATCTGAATAAGAAGCAGATGGGTGAAATCAAGGAAAAAGACAATTTTCTCTTTTAGCCAGGAAGCACCTTTCATCGAAAACCTTCCCAGTGGAATTGCTATTGGAAAGTGTCTTTTTTCCCCCCATTCAGTCAGTTTTGGACCCCACCTCTAAAGGTATTGTGATTCAAAGTCTAGAAAAAGACAATAAAGTTAAGTTTACAAGAGTCAGATGTATGACTTCGTGTGGTGGAGTTCACCAGAAGAACTGGGAAGGAAAATCTCTCTTTGCCTTGCCAGGGTTTGGTATATATTATCTTTTAAAATTTTTATTTAAAAATCTTGATCTTAAAGAAATCCCTTAGGCTCCTTCTCTCTTATTGGGTTATCATCTTAAGTCCATTGTTGAAGTTTAAATCTCTGTTTACTTCCAAAATAATATTGACTGCAAGACAAAGAATGATTATGGAATCTGCACATATTTCTGGGTATGTAAATCCTTGCAGAAAGGAGATAGTTGATAAATGTCCTTTATTAGACTGTTAATAGTGCTTAGCTGGACATGAATGAGATTCTTAGTAGAATTCCAAAGCCCAAGAGAAAAAAAATGATAATGACTTTGACCAAGTGAGAGAAATTCCCAGGAAAGCCTAGAGCAATTCTTAACTAAATCTGCCCTAAGTCAGAATCTGTGACACCAAAGTTCTACATTTTACCCACATGACCACATATTTTTTTTTTCAAAAGCATCCAAATTTACGAGCATTAGTGGCAAACGCTGCATCTGCTTACTTTCAGAGCAAGATGTCAATTTAAGGAAATGTTTTAAATCAGGTCTGGTGAATATCACTCTCATGCAAGATTATAATTCTGTGGAACCATTTCATGTGGAAAATGGACAATTTTCTGTAGGCATCTGAAATCATCTACATCTTCTTGATAATTTTTCAGCAGGAAATATGTATAATATTCTAATTGACATGTCAGTGGAAGCATTGCAGACTTCGTGGGTCACTTGAAAAATGTATTTTTAAACATATCTTGGAAATCTTAGTAGCATTAAAGTTAAGGAATGAATTCAAACGCTCCAAAAATATTCATTTGTTTTCTTCCCAAGTTTCCTGAAACAGAGTGCTCAGATGAAATATTTGACTACATGAAACCATTTGTTTTGGTAGCATTTCCACCATTAACCTTAGATCATCTCCTAAAGACAG